ATATATATATATATATATATATATATATATATATATATATATAGAAATCATTGGCATGTGATATCATCATTGTTTCTGATGAAGGGGATCCCAACATTGTGAAACCACTTTGATATGGTCTTGAATAGGCGCCTCCCTAGTGGTTTGCCAAAAACTAGGAGAGTGCAACGTTCTTTTGGAAAAATTGAAGGAAAACTGCATGATCTTTTTTTGGTAAATAGAAAACTGCATGATCTAGTTATTGGTAAGCATTTTTTTGATGAATAAAAAACAGCATCGCTTTTTTTGGTGAATAGAAAAATTCATGATCTAGTTATTGGTAAGCAAATAACAGCTAGATCTAATTAAAATAAGTCCTAGATTCTTCCCAACCTATATTATTTCCAAACCTATATTATTTAGACAAATCAAAACTTTATAAGACAAGTCAAACCTATGTTATTTCTACAAATCAAAACTTTATAAGACAAATCCATTATTTCTCGGCAAATCAAAACCTTATAAGACAAGTCAAACCTATATTATTTCTACAAATCAAAACTTTATTAGACAAATCAATTATTTCTACAAATCAAAACCTTATAAGACAAATCAAAGAAATCAAAACTTTCTAAGACAAATCAAAGTACTGATTTTAACACAATCACATAGCCACACATCCCATTCATTTGGCAACAATAAGTAAGTTGGCTTTCAAAGTTTTCATAGACGTGCATTCTTCCTTAATTTTTTGATGTAGGACAGCATGCAAACTTATTATCTTGAGAACAAACCTATTAACCTAGCGTGCATCTTCCTTGATGTGGAATACAAAATTTCAAACCTTTATGCGTGCATGCACGCAAACTTACCATTGATAATCATGAACAGTTTATTATAAAAAATATTTACTATAAATTAATAAAGTGAGCTTTTTAATAAATTATATTTATTATAAAAAATATTTATTTAATAGACCAAGTTTTTTATAATAAATTATGTTTATTATAAAACATATATAAGCAATTCAAAATATATATGTAAGGGCCATCTTGTTTTCAAATCACGTTTAGTATAATATTAAAATTAATAAGTATACTTATTATATTAATAACTAAATCTTATATATTATTTATTATAAATTATATAATTTATTATTTTTTGAATTTTAAATTTATTCTTATTTGTATAGTAAAATTATTATAAAGTATAAACCAAAAATTTCAATTTCAATGCATAATATTATTGTTAGTTAGATTGTGATAATTTTGGATAAGTAAAAAAAATTAATAAATATTTCACTTGATACTAATTTCATTATTTTTAATATTATAATAGAGAAACATATTCTAATATTTTAAATTATTTTATTGTAATATTATAATACTATGTTATAATCAACAATCATAATGACATCCAAACAAAAAAACTGCGTCCATCCAAATTTTTTTTAAACAGTGTCGAACCAAATAGAGATCTGATGAGAGGCTCTACCGGTTCGGTCAGGTTTTGATAACTATAGGTACAGAGGACCATGTTGTTTGTTATTTTACTTCGCCCAAATGGGGTTTGTGAACCCCATGAGAAAGAAAAAACATGCGCCTGTGTAAAGGAGAGTCACAGGCATATATGCCACTTACTAAACTCAGAGACCACAACACTAACTACAGCATCAAACCACCGCCTATGATGCACTTACCAAGATCATGTCCTCTCACTCTCACCCCTTTCTCTCTCTCCTCCAAAAATGCACCACCATACACCACCTCTACCAAATTCAAGCCCACCTCATCACAACCAATCTCCTCTACAAAAACAACACTCTCTTGGGCGCCATCATCTCCTTTTGTGCCCTTAACCCCCCAGCCAACAACCTCGCTCACGCCCTCCTCACCCTCGCCTCTGCCCCTCGACCCAATGCCTTCTCCTTCAACACCGCCCTCCGTGGCGTCGCTCTCCACCACCCCTACAACGCGCCCGCCTTAGCAGCGCATGTGTATAACCGCTTCCTCTCCTCTCCATGTACCCATCCTAACAATTACACATTTACCTTTTTACTTAAGGCCCTCAGGTCTCACCCTCCAGCATCTCTCCTGGCCCACGCTCATGTAATTATGCTTGGTCTTGCTTCTGATAAGTATGTTCAGGCCTCATTAGTTAATGTTTATGCAAAAGTGGGGTCGGTTCAGTTCGCACGCAAGGTGTTTGATGCAATGGATGAGAGGGATTTGATTTGTTGGAGTTCATTGCTTACGGGTTATGTGCAGGCCGGATTGGCGATGGATGCTTTAGGTTTGTTTAGAGAGATGCAATTGAATGGGGTGAAGCCTGATGGGGTGGTCTTGGTGGGGCTGCTTTTGGCTTGTGGGGTGTTGGGTGCCTTGGATTTGGGCAGGTGGGTCCATGCTTATGCAGGGAAAAATGGGTTGGGTTCCGATGTTTATTTGAGCAATGCGTTGATCGATATGTATGCAAAGTGTGGTTCTTTAGAACGTGCACAAGAGGTGTTTATGGCTATGGGCGAAAAGGATTTATTTTCATGGAGTTCGATGATTGCTGGTTATGCGATCCATGGGTTGGGTGCAAAGGCTGTTGGGGCCTTTTGGAGTATGGTAGGCAATGGGGTGAGGCCTGATGAGGTGTGTTTTATTAGTGTTTTGGCGGCTTGTAGCCATGCTGGGCTAGTCGAAGAGGGGCAGCGGTGCTTTGAGATTATGGTCTCGGATTATGGAATTGAGCCCAAGGTGGAGCATTATGGGTGCATGGTGGACCTCTTGGGGAGAGCAGGTCTCTTGCAAGAGGCCATGGCCATGATCCATAGCATGCCCATGAAGCCAAATGCCATTATATGGCGATCCTTGCTCAATTCTTGTAGGCTTCATGGCAATATTGAATTGGGCAAATGGGTTCTTAAGCAACTGCCAAAATTTGGGCCGGAGAGTGGATCAGCCCAAATTTTGATGACCAAAATGTATGCCACTGCGGAAAAATGGGGTGAAATTCCTTCGATTGGTTGCGGGAAACCTGCAAAAACTCCAGGGTGTAGTGTCATAGAGTTGGATGGTGAGATACATGAGTTTTTGATGGGGGATAAGGTGCACCCCATGAGTGAGAAGATATATGAGAAGTTGGATCAAGTTATGAGGGAACTGAGAAATGTGGGTTATGTTCCAAGTGTTTCAGAGGTTATGTTTGATATAGAGGAAGAAGAGAAAGTGGGAGCAGTTGGAGTTCATAGTGAGAAGCTTGCCATTGCTTTTGGACTTCTGGAAACACCTGAGGGGATGGCGATTAGGATCGTTAAGAACTTGAGGGTTTGTAGTGATTGCCATTTTGCAACTAAGCTCATATCAAAGGTTTTTAGGAGAGAGATTGTGATGAGGGACAAGAACAGGTTCCACCATTTTAGAGATGGGTCTTGCTCTTGCATGGATTTTTGGTGAGTTTATTACTGTTACTACTCTTTTTGATAAGGAGCAAGATGTGTTTCAGAGTTGAAGCACATAAGCTTTGCAGCCTGGAGCCCAATTTCACTATATGGAAGCCTTGGTTCATGCTCGAAGTTCGGTCAATGTTTGTTTGGAAAATATTGGAGGTCTTCTTCGTTTGTAGTCGTGGGGGAGCTTTCCCAGAGACCCTCCTGTTGTAATTCCATTGAAGTAAGGGGAACCACTTAACTAGGAATTCGGCTTAGGCTTGATTCGTTAGCAGTTGACGTCAAGCAACGCTACATCTCAAGTTCGATTCCTACCATTAAACTATACTATTAAACTAGCCTCATAAAAAAAGGAACCATTTATCTTTCCAAAGTAAGGGGAAGCTAAACCACCGTGGAGACTGATTCCCATTTTTAATGACATTCGAATTTTATTATCTAGGTTCTCAGCTGATATTTGCCATTGTTTTAGAGAGACAAACTTGGAGGCAGATTCTCTTGCTAAAGGTGTTTTCATCAATCCTCAGTGGTGCTCATCACATTATTTGAACTTATATTTATCTCTCTTTTTTCTTCTCCTCTTGTAATCTTCCTCTTCCTCCTTCTGTATATCCTTTATTTTTTTTAATGGAAGTTAATGGTTATCGTTCCCGAAAAAAAAAAAAATCTTTCCAAAGTGAGGAGAGTAATCACAGCTCACACCTCAAATGTGGTTATTTAATTCTTTTAAATGAATTCAGATTATGTTACAGTAATCTACTTTTTTTTTTTGGATAGGCATGTTACAGTATTCTACGTATAAACTTGGGGCAATATATGTGTGCCATGGAATGAATGAATGGACTTGGCTTCTTCGGTATTAGTGTTGGCATAAGGAATGTGGCACTTTTAGTTCGCATGTTCTCCACTTGAATAACCATAAATATGCAACCATGTTCCATATCATCTTGTACCGAAAAGTAACAAGGAGCATGGTATGCATGCCCAAATTTAAAATGACACGAATGTATTTTTTATATTGTGAATAAATTCAGATGGCATAATAAATAATTTCAATGTTGAATTAGATTTTTATTGCTACATATTTATTTATTCATTTAGATAACTGGGATAAAAAAACTGAATTAATGATAGTGCGGTGAAATTAGTGGAACACAAACACTCATATTTTATATAAAATAACAAAAAACTATAATTCAAAGCCATTATTTTGTTTGAAAAACCTAAAACCTAGATGTTTAGGAAATATTATTTATTTTTTAAAGAATTTTGAGAAGTTATATATATATATATATATATATATACACACACACACACCAATAACGCGCCAAGATCTAAATTCACTTTTATCTTAATAACATTGAAAATACTGTAGTATAGTCTAGTAGAGAACGTAAAGCGTAGTATAATATAAAAAGCAGCACATAATGATGATAAGAGAAATTACAGAGATGTCTACTATAATCCAAGTAGTATGAATACTGTTTCGAATTTTTATGCCAAAATTAAATTTAAACTGCATATACACAAGCTTTATTTCATAGAGTTCAAATAGGTACAGGAACAAAGATGACTTATAACAAATCATTTACAATTTACAAATGTAGTAACTTGAAAAAAGAGCCCATTCGTCCGGATAGAACGAAAGTACTTTATGTAAATTACAATCACACATCTGTGTACATCGTATAAACAAAAGAAGTATGAAAAGATCTTACTCGATAACGGCTTGCCTCAAAGAAGAAAAGTCAGCAGAGCTTTCAGGAGACTGCTTTGAGTAAGTAGGGAAGAGAGAAGAGATTGCAGAGAAGAGGTCGCAGAGATGGAGGTTTCGACTTGTTTTTTACTGAAGGTTTGGAGGGGTTTTTATAGAGGAGTGGAGGAGCTGAGGTGGAAGATTCGATGAAGCTGAAAGAGGAAGAGAGGTGACATAAAGTCGAGATAAACGCGGAGAAGCTGAGGTGGAAGATTCGATGAAGATAAGAGAGGTGACGTAAAGTCGAGATAAAAAGATAAAAAGAAGGGATGTAACGTAAAGTAGAAAAGATGTGATAGAAAAAGAAGAGAAGACGTAAAAACAAAAGCTAGACCTGACATAAAGCAAAAGGTAAAAAAACGAAGGTATCTTGCACAGTGTCTTTTGTCGGTCTTTGATAGCTTTTTTGTTGTTTTCTTGTATAACGGCATTTCTTTTGAGGTGGCAGGAGCTTCTTTTGCGGTGAGCTTCTTTTTGAGGTGACAACATCTTTTGAGGTGGCAGGAGCATCTTGCTTTTGAAAATCTTTGTACAGGAAGTCTTTGTACAAGATATGGACAAGGTTTTGTATAGAATCTTAGTGGCTTTATTTGGGCCTTTGACTTTATTCGAGCCTTTGGTTGAACTCATCTTCTATCTGTTCGGGCTAAGAGGTAGCATCTGAAGCTTCTTCTTCAATTATTCTTAACAGTTGCGTTTCAAGTTCTTCTTTCGTAGCTCTTGGGTTTTGCTTACGCATTTGTCTGATATATTCGGCGAATTTATTTGGATCAAATTCAGGAGTATTATTAGTCTGATACTTGGTAGGAGAAAGAGGTATTCGTTTCATTCTAATTGAGTTCGGATCCATATTGAATACATCCCACCATTTAACAAATATTCATTTTTCCAGTCGAGGGATATACTCATAATTATTGCTGGTATTTTCAAAGAGGCCATATTCCCATTTGAGAATCCAAGGTATTTGATGTATTGCCATAAAATATAAATGATAATCTATATCAGTATCTATATTATTATATTCAACAAATTTAGCCTGAGCATTTTTAAATGCATTAGGTAATATTTGGGTTCCGGAACCCCATATTAAGAACCAATATCGAAACCAACTCGAGAATCTTTTAAGAATAGACATTTTAAATTGGATATACCATGTATGAGAATTATTCAAATTTTGATAGGCAAATATTTTGTTCCAAGCATCCATATATTGTGAATATCTATAAGATTTGTATTGAAACTCTTGTGCTTGCAACTTTTTTCCTTGAGTTGGGGTACAACCCCAATCTTCATATGATAATATTCTTTTTATTTGTATCTTAAAGTAGGAAATAACTTTTGTAGTAGGATTAAAGAAATGAACAAGAGATATAGATCATGTTTCTATGAGAACGATTTCATACCATTCTCGAGTTTTGTTTCCATTGGAGGGATTAAGATGATTTTGAAGGTACAAAGGTGTCAGCTTATTTGAGTTTATGTGGATATGTTTATCATCAATAGTAACATCTATTAAAAAGGCTGTTTTTTCAAAAACTGCCTTTTGTGAGGTAGAACTAGTTGGCTTATTTTGGTTTGGTACAGGAGTAAATATTGGAGTTGGAGTTTGGGTAGAGTGTTCAGGGTAATTAAGAGATCTGGCTGGTGATAAAGGTGGGTGCATAGATATAGGAGAGCTAGGTGTTACGATAGGAACAAGATCCATTAGAGTCTTTAGATTCTTGCCTGGTCGTTGAGAATTATTGATATTCATATTAAATAATTGTATTGCTAATGAGGCTTCGTCGTCGAATATATATATATATATGTTATATTTATTATTATTATAGGATTACTTCCAAGTTTCCGTTATTATACTTATTATTTTTTTTTTTACTATCCTAACAATTTTTTAAAAAGATGGAAACGTCTATTTTGAAATTTTCAAAAATATCAAAATTTTTAAAATTTTTGTTTTTTCAAAAATAAAAATTTAATAATTTTCAAAAATCCAAATTTATATAAAAAATACCAACTTAATATTTTTCAATTTCTTTGATTAATAATCCAAAGACCCGAACAACCATCTCTCTCTTCTCTGCTTTCTCTCACCGTCTTTCTTCCATACTGATTTTATTAAGGAAAAAGTTTATATAAAGCCGAGGCTCTAAACAAACAAATTTGAGCTTACCTTAAAAAATTTTTCCTTAAAGGAGGACGTTTTGATGCCCAAATATCTTCAAATTGATTATCTCGACATCAACATGCTAGACATGAAATACAAATAGATTTCAAGTTTTAAAAATATTGTATTTTGCAACATATTTTTGGACCGTCAATTTTCAAAATTTTCAAGTTTTCATAGATCTGTCGATCTATATTTCTTTTAAAGCTTTAAAATTTATAAATAAATATGAAAATATATTTTAAAGATATCACAAAGATTTCTAATGTTGAAAGAACATTTCTAAACACTATTTGAAGGTAGGCTCTCATTTGATTGTTTAGAGCCTAGGCTCTATACAAACTACACCCTTTTATTAATCAAAAACCTCTTCTGCTGCAACATGTTACAGTACCAAAAAAAAATGAATCCCCAAAAATGAATTGACGTAGCTTCACTTTATCTCTCGCTAAAGAGAAGCCAAAGGAGAAGCAACAAAAGGAGTGATGAATATGCAGAAGCTTTGTTCGATGCTGACTGTTTTGACTGTAGAGCAAGTCAGACATGTGGATTTGTTAAGGCCAGATTGGAGCAGATCGAGTTCAAAACCCTAATCCAAGTGCTCCGTTTGAGTTAGAGGGGATGAGAGGGAGTGGGAATGGGCTGTTTGTTACTGACCTTGTTTGCGTGTCTCTCTAAGCTCGGCAGGTGGCAGCCTGTTGGCCTGTTGGACTTAGATCAGTTTCTGTAAAATCGAATCGGAACAGTTAATCGGACATGACCTCGAAAGCGGTTTAACTAGTGTTTGAAATAACTTGGAAAGCAGTTTAACTAGTATTCGCAAAATCGAATCGAAACGGTTAACCAGACATAGGGCTTAGAGCAGTTAGCACCGGAACTGGACTAATCAGGTGGTTAACCGGACTAACCGGTCGGATAGAAATTTTTTTTAAAAAAAAGCCAAAATTTTTTTTTTTTAAAAAAGAAAAGAAAATTTGAGAGGGTTTCAAATCTTTTTGCTTAGAAATAGAATATTCAATTAAGAAAGCAATAGAAACATAAATATTTATTCTACAACAGTGCAAACTAAAGTAGCATCCTTTGAGGC